GGGGGGGGGGGCGGGGGGGGTAGTTTCATTTTTTATCGTTGGGCATGATTGAGTCAACGTCTTCGTTTCGTCGCAGCATTGAGGATACGTGCGCCTCCGCATAGACGTGTGGATTGGTAGGCAACAACCCTTTGAGAGGATGCTTTACGGAACAAAGGAGTATCAACGAAAATAAATATAGTGGAAGAAAGCCGAGACCGTTGTGGTTCACGGGCAAGTTGCTGTGACTGTATTCAACGAACACGAGGATGCGTTTTTTTATTTCTCTCCCTGCTGCAGGGCTTCCTTGCTGCGAGGGTCGTAGCCTTCTTTTTTTTGGGGGGCATGGTTGAGTCAACGACTTCGTCTTTTCGTAGCATCATTTTTTTTTGGATACGTGCGCCTCCGCAGAGACGTGTGGGTTGTTTGGTTGGCAACAACACTTTGAGAGGATGCCTTGAGGCAACAAAGGAGTATCAAGGATAATATGGTTGAAGAACGCCGAAGACATCGCTGTCTTGCGGGTAACCTGCCGTGCCGCCACTCTGCGGACATGCATATCGTTTGGTGTTTTCCTATTTGCAAGACTTGTTCTTGCAACCCAATACTACGTTGGGTGTTGGCGGGGACTCTGAGGCACGCTTTGGTTCCGCAATTTTGGAGCCTTGCAATTTTTCCCGTCTCCGCGCATGCTCACTTGAAGCGCAGGAATGTGTTCGCGATGGGATTCGACAAGACCCCAATTTTTAGCGTGTGTGTGGGTCTCCTTCAGGTCTGCAACCTGGAGCAATGTTTTCACCCACGCGACGAATATGTAATACAGGGATGCAGAGACATCATTAAAAGTTGTATCAACGACAACAACGTTTTCGATTCACACCCTCCTATCAATTAGGAAAAAAAGTCGAACATGCCCACACTTTTAATGCCCTAGGCAAAACAAGCACCCTCCAAGACCCACAGGACCCCGCTTTCATCCGCACACGATGCATGTTAACCATAAAGTGTTGCCGGCACGAACACACACATTACGAACCAAGTGTACCCGGACACATCTGGTCAGAACGCTCCACACCGACACCCACAAAACATGTCAGCGAGAATCAACATGTCACACATCACACCCCCCACCTCTCCCCGGGATGCGCCGACACCCTACCACCAACACCCAAAACACGTTCTTCCAGCGCCCTCCGCCCTCTACACTGAGGTACCTCCCTCCCGCGCCTCTCCCTCCCGCGCCGCTATCCTCCCTTTCACGCGTCTCGTCATACCGTGGAAGCTAGCGTACTTCTGCCGCCATCCGCTCATGTGGCCCCTAACCGCAACCCGCCCATTTAGTGTACCCGCCACGGGGAAGAATCGCATCCCCGCGCGCCCCACCCCCACCCCCCTTGCCCCCCGCCGCGCCTCTCGCCCGCTTGTAGTAGCGACCTTCCCCCCCATCCGCCCCCATCCGCCCCTATGTAGACCCGTCCCCACTTCCCGCTTCTGCGCGCGCGACGCGATGCCGCCGGGCTGGATACGTGCTCACGAATTCCTCTGGCGGTTGTAGTCCGGCCTCCACTGCTTCTTCAACTCCAGGGCCGTGCGGATAGCCGCTCGGGCCGGGGTCTCACCGCTCCTCGAAGGAGCCGGCTGCTCCGTTTGCCAGCCATCCGGCAAGGTGCGCTGCGTAGCACAGAGGGCCGGCCGGTTGCGTCCGCTGCGCGAGTCCTCCTCTGCAAGCTGGATCGGCGATACCTTCTCGTCTTGCAGGAAGTTGTGCAGATGGAAAAGAGCCGTGATGAGATCCGCGCGTCCTGCGAACTGCACGCGGAGAGGTCTCCACAGAATGCCCCAAGTCGAAACCAGGATGCCGAAGCTCTGCTCGATCTTGACACGAAGCTGGCTCAGGTGGAAGTTGAACGAGTCCTCCCCCGCCGGCAGCAGCCTCCCAGGGTACGGAGTCAGAAGCTTTTCTCCAATGGGGTAGGCGGCGTCACCAATGATGTGAAATCCGGTGGGCAAGCGGGCGACGGCCTTGGCGAGGGAAGATCGATTCCATGCTACCCAGTCGTTCGTAGAGCCTGGTGAGATCGCCGACATCGCGCAAAACCGGTAGTCGGCGGTGCACATCGCTTGTACGTTGATGCCGTACGCGGACTTGCTGCCAGAGTAGTACGCGAGGACGTTGGCGGTGTCTTTCGCATACGGAGCCCTGCCCTTGATGAACAGACCATCCACGGCGGCGACGACCCAGGAGAAAATGCCATCGGTGCTCTTCTCCTGCATTTGTAGACGGCAGACACGAGGGCGGGAAAGTAGCAGTGTCGGGAAGGGATATAAAATAAGTCGAGAGATACGTTGACAAAAATTGGTAACAGTGTTCAGCTGTACGTTGTGTGGGTTGATGTCATCGGCGACGGCGCCATCGCCAGCAACGGCGGGCATACCATGTAAACTGAGAGTTGGGCCGTTTGATTATCCTAATCATAATCATGCGTCACGTACAGCGGTACGAAGGTATCAGGGCATTTTAGAGCCACGGAGGTGACTGCATTGATTCCACACTCTTGTATCGCTAAAATCTGTTGCCGGGCCACTGCTGTTGCGGGGCCGAACCAACGTGGCCAGCATACACAAAGGATGACAACAACATTTATTTGTAAAGGACACCGAAAGCTGGCGAACCACCCGGGACCCGGGGGATATTTTTCGGTTCGAACCATGCTGACCACGATGACAACCCGAACTCGTACCCGCCGGCGACAACACTTTTGTTTCTCTCTTATCAACGAGGGCTGCGTATAGATAGTCCTCCCTACGCTAAAACGGCTGGAAACAGCAGACGTGAAAAAATACACGATATCCCGCGGTTGGTCGAAAGAATGCCGCCAAGAATAACCGTAGTTGCAGTACTGACCACCGTTAGGTCTCACCTTGAATCTATTGGCGTTTCGCATGCAGCCTTCCTCGGTCAGGGGGAAGTCAAATGCCCCAATCGCAGGCGTCTCGTTGATGGCATCGATCACTTGCCACAAGATGTCGAACGTGACCCGCCCTCGACAAGCCAAACATGAGGGCAACATCCCAGTAACTGCCGCCAGCCAGGATCCTCAACGCCGCGGCAACGCGGACTTCCACAGCTATGGCGCCGTTGGTTGGCGATCGCAGTGCTGTGGGGTTTCCGAGCGACGCGCAGATAACGTTTGCAGGATGAGCGCGAGTCGTTCAGGACAGAAGTACGAGTGTCAAAGGGGGCATGTTTGCAATCGCCAGCACTTAGTTTAGCAACCTACGACGGGGGGCGCATGTTCTCCGCAAACTCGTCAGATTGCCGGCCCAATACACCTACCTATGTACTACGGTACGGAGACGGCTCTGTGTTCATCACCTACATACGCATTTTTTGCACATGATGAGCACGTGTCGACAGCTGTTGTGTCATTGCGGGATACGACAATTGGTATCGGCTCCCGACGAGGCTGTATTTGTTTAGTGGGGCCGGCGTGTACTGTACGCCCTGTGAATACTGCTGCACAGTAGTGAGCGTCACGAATAGTACCTCCGCCTTTAACCCATACAATGACCGCTGCTGTACAAGTATGTGTCTTGTAACAGCAGTATATCGTACAATACTGCTGCTGCGCTGTACGTACCCTGCTGCCGCATGTTCGACGAGCGAGTTGCTTTTTTAAAAAAGGCAGCAGGAACATAGACTACAGCAGTAGTCTATGTACAGCACATGTTTTAGACTTGTGCTCTTCCCCGTTGCTTTCTACATATACACCCAGAAGAACCCTCATCACGCATACCTGCCGTGGGCGGCTGCATCTACACATCAACACTCACCGCCGAAGAAAGCGTTGACTTCCAGCGAAGGGCGGAGTAGCTCGACAAGCTTGTGGAAACTGCCTTTCTCCATGCGGTACGACCGCCGCCACCCGTGCCGTTTATCGAGGTCCGCCTCGTGTTGAGCCCACGGAAGACGCTTGGGCTCGTAGATGGGCTCCCGTTCCTGAGGGCAGTGGGCACGATGAGCCTCTCCTGCTGCCACGACGCCCGCCGCCACTACTACGGCCCTCACAAGACCCAAGACTGTGAATCTCTTGTCATGGGCTACATCCTCCTCGTCGATAGCTCGCCGACGGCGCTTCTCCCGGCGTTGCGCTGCGATCCCCCTGGGATCTTGACGCTTCCCACGCTCAGCCATGGTAGTGGAGTTGCCTTGGGAAGCACTTTGGGGTGCTGTTGGTGCTGTCTAGGTGTGGTGTGATGAAGACAGCACGCGTGACCGGTGTCTGCTCCGGTAGCCGAAAAAAAGCGGGAAATTTTTTACCGATCCGTAATAAAAGGAGCAAGCCCCCAAAAAATACGCCTTGCTCTTTTTACGGAAACGTAGAGGAACGCCTCCATATATTTCAAGAAAATACGGTTTCGTAACCAAATACGTATTTTTTCGGCCTGATAAGACACCCCCTAAATAAAGCGTGATGTAAGAAGATTCCAGAAACGTTCCGTTTGGGCCTCCAGTCCGGGCGAATGACCAGGCCAGGACCCCCACACCCCGAACAATCTTAGGCACGCCAAGGCACGCTGCTTGTTCCAGCCGTCCAAAATCTGTCACCAACACAACCACAACGAACCTGTACCTTTTCTTCAGCCGCAATCAATCATCATGCCCTGCATCACGAGCTCGCGATTCTGCCTCTGGGGAGCACTGATATTCTCCTTCTGCTGTTCGCAGGGCTATGGCCAAGTTGAACTCCCCGCCTTGCCGTACGGAGAGTCTGACCTTGAGCCATATATCACCGCCGAGGTGAGAGGGAACGCCTGTAGCATGTGTGTATGTATGCAGCATTGACTTGTGACACCATCATCAAGTAGATGCACGGAGGAGCCTGTAGTATCGAGTCTCTATCTACTCCTGGGCAGAGGCTCTGCTGGGTCTTGGGTCTGTGGCTGTTGCCGCTGCTGCTGCTGCTGCTGCTACGGCGAAACCCGCAGCATCGATCGGCAGCCCCGCGTCCCGTTCGCTGCAGGCAGTCAAACGGTTTCTTGCTCGCGGACCAACGAAGACACGCTGCTACTTGGTCGAGAATCACGTACAGTAACGTGACAGGTTGGTGTGAAAACCATGACAAACTGCTTCAGCAGCAATCCAATGCTGAAAACTACAGTATGCATACCTTCACTAAAATTTCGTACATCCAGCAGTGCAGCCCCCGGCATGAACAGAAAATGGGATCGTTCCGATCTGGGCACCAGCAACCATGGTCTGGGTTGACGGCGGACGCACAGCAGTGTTTGTAGCAGCGACACCAGTCCTATGGTGGTGTGGTGTGACGTGCGCAGTGTGATGTGTACTGCTGTAAACTATGCATACACACACGTGTACAGCGAAAGAACCTCGTCGACAAGAAAAGTCTACAGCTCTCTCCTTGTTCACAGGAAAGAAGAGTGGATTCATGCGGTTAAGGGCGCGGGGGGGATCGCGGTACTTCCTCTTCAAAAAAACAGGAAACGCCTGGAAACGCCTGCATATCTCGGTTTTCCAAAGTCTAACTCCAGTACGAAACTACCATCGTAAATTAACCGCCCGCAGCGGTCGCTTGTGTGCAATGTTAGTAGCTGAGGTTGTACCCCTTGCGATACACTACAGGCTAGCGGTCCGCGATTTTCCAAACGATCCTTCTATCATCGAGTTCGGTGAGCTACAAGCTAGATTTTTGAAGCTGCTGTGCGGTCCAATTTTGAAACGCTTCAAGCACACGGTGAACACGAATCACCGCCTATGTGAGTGTATGGGACCGCGAACTTCAGCGCAGCTCTTCCCTCACATATCCAGCTGGTCGCCATTGTCGATTTGAATGCCTAGGGTCATGTATATGCATGTCCAGCCTTTAGGCAAAGGTGCTTGAAGCGTTTCAAAATTGGACCCCACAGCAGCTTCAAAAATCTAGCTTGTAGCTCACCGAACTCGATGATAGAAGGATCGTTTGGAAAATCGCGGACCGCTAGCCTGTAGTGTATCGCAAGGGGTACAACCTCAGCTACTAACATTGTACACAAGCGACCGCTGCGGGCGGTTAATTTACGAAGGTAGTTTCGTGCTGGAGTTAGACTTTGGAAAACCGAGATATGCAGGCGTTTCCTGGATTTTTCAGAGAGGTACTGCGATCCCCCCCGCGCCCTTAAATAGTGTGCGACGTGGCGACCTTCGGCACGTACGTCCGCGGGGTTGCGGTGGGGACCACACCGCGGGCAAGAATACACTGCTGTGCTGCTGTCCCGGCACACTCACTGCAGCATTGACCTCGTCCATCCTCCGTCTCAAGGGGGACAGGACCGACCAGGGGGGTGCATACAGACATACAGAAAGATCTCGAAGAACCTACCCTTGTCTTGAGCGAGGACGAAACTAAGAATCGGGGGCGGGCGCAAGAGACTACATGTATCTGTTTGGGTGCGGTAGCCCGTCAGAGGCCGAAAGAGAAAGAAGGTTGACTCAAGACCTTTGTTGATTAGAGAGTGAGAGACATGCGGTAGGCAACACCATCGCCATGCAGCATGCCCATCAACACATTTCATCCGCGTATCCCCCGGAGGTCCCGTAGACAGTATACTGTGCCGAGCACCCCAAACAGCTCCCCTGCTCGGTACGAGATACGATCTACGAAATCCTCGTCACGACTATCGTTGCCAGTTAAAACGGCGATAAATCAAACTACGCATCCACACGGAAATCGTCCACCATTCATTCCAATTCAAACAATTTCCCAATAAAACAATGTTCTACGAAATCTGTCGATCTCCCAATAAAACATGCTCTACGAAATCTTTCAAATCTTCTGATGATATCAAATTACTATCTCCTAAAAGGTCTGTCAATAAACAATTCACCCTCTTGAGAAAAATGCTTTACCAAATTCTCAAGAAGTCGAAACACAAACAAATACCCTTGGAAAAATACCCAGCAAAGACACACATTACATCAGAATCACGTCAGAACGGGGACGGGTAACTCCGGAAAAATGTGTCCAACGTTCTGACTTACTCAGAACAAATTCCTCAGATAAACATTCATGTTTCAACTCATTGACCAGCTCAAATAACCTTCGGAAGCACAAAGGCTTCAACCATGACTTACGAGAACATGCCAAATCCTTCCTCCAATACCCAATACCTTGACAAACATACCAGTCCAACAGCCTCCCTGCTGTAACACCCATCCCAAACACGAAGAAACCAAACAAACAAGTCCGAAACAAACATGAAGAAACCAACAAATCCAAAACAGACAATCAACAATCCCGCATCCCCCCTGCTGGGACATCTCATATAAACGCAACGAAAATCCCATTCAATATTCAATTCCATGTCACCTCCGCAGGTAAAACGCGGAAAACGATCCAGACATAAGTACCCAAATCCCATCAGCCAACATCAATTCCATATAAAATCCCCAGGGAAAACACGGAAAATCCCAACATGAACTACCAAACCCGATGTCAGAAACACTGCTTGTTGTGCTGCGGCGGACAGCATGGTATCACATTCCCCCCCCCATGATTTCCGACAGCAGTGCAACAATCAGGCGTGATTCCGCAAAATCCAGCATGCCAATTCTGCATCGAACTTCATCAACTCCAAACCGAAACAAGAAAAGAAAATATATCAAAGAAAAGGCGTCACACGTCCAGCGCATACCAGCCTGCCGTACAGGCCTACTTGGAAAGGAAAATTGGTACTCCGCAAGGATTGACTCGTCGGGTACGGTACATCGGAGGGACAGAGAAACGGTGCGTGCCCCCCAACGTCTTTACCCAGCACGTCGAACGCCAAGCCAATGCCTACTACATATATCCAGTACCATCAGAAAAACATAGAGAGAATGTGATCCCAACAAAGAAGGAAAACCAAAGTGGAACAAACCGTACGCAGAAATAATACTACCACCGCCATTTGAGATATTGTCTTGACAAACAACAGCCCCCCGGCCGCAACATTCCATTTGTCTCCCAGAAAAACAACAATAATCAGCCATGGAAATTCCCTGCCATTTGGCCGTGGAAATTTGTGTCCCTGCAAGGTAAAACGCGGGTGGGCATCTCTACAGAACAAAACAAAAACAAATCCAAACCTGCAAATGTGCCAACGATAGGAAAAATGATTTGCAGACGGTGAAAAATGCAGCATTGTATCTGAAGATCAAAAAACAAGAACAACATCGTGCACAAAACAAATTTCAGAAAAATGACAAGAATACGCAAACAAACGTCACGTGCCTTGGCGAGTTTAAGACCCCAGCAGAAGTCGCGCTGCTTGCCGTCATTGTTGGACTCGCCCGATCCTCCGAACTCCTTTCCCCGCTTCATGATCCTCCTGTCGCTGCTCCGGTCGCGAACACGGGCTCCCCGGCCGTTGCCCACGCGACATCTTTCCACGGTCGAACGGGGTGTCCATCCCCATCACCAGCCCCACTCTCCCAGCCTTCAGCCGGCACAGCTTCCCCGGGTCGAAGGGGCGCAGCAGTGCCCCAAACCAGGCCACATCCATCCCCTCCGCCTCGTCGTTGCTACTGCTGCCGCTGCCGCTGCAGCTGCTGCTGCTGCTGCTGCTGCTGGAACCATCGACCAGGTCGTCCACCCCGGGATAGTTGGCGCCGCGCACCTCCGAACACACGGTGCCGGGATCGAAAGGGTGCGTGGACGCCCCCCTCTCGCCACAGACGCTGTCATCCCAGCAGCCATCAACCTCACCTGCGCACCAACCGCCATCATCGCTGTCGTCGTCAATGCCGTTGACCACCGCTTCCCCGTTGCTGGCCGTCCCCCCAACCGATACGGTGGGGGGAACGTCACCGACGGTCGCCATCGTAGCGGCCGGTGCCATCGCCGCGGTCGCGGGTGGTGCCGTCACCGATGTCGCCACTCCAGCCGCCGATGCCGTCATTGTAGCCACCTGCGCGGGTTCTCGAGCCATTCTCCCCGCCGCCGCAGCGGGAGAAACAACACCGTCGGGTGCCGCCGCCGTCACCGCTGGAACCGCCGTCGATACCGACGCTCCAAGCACCAACGCGGGCGCTCCGGTCGTTCTCCCCGCCACCGTCGCGGAGATAACAGTGTCGCCGGGCACCGCAACCGTCGCCGCTGGAACCGCCGCCGATGCCGTTACTCCAGCCGTCGCCGCGAGCCCTCCGGGCGCTTCCTCCGCCGTCGCTGCGAGGGAAACACTACCGCCGCCGTAGGTCGCCGCCGTCGCCTCCGGAGCTGCCGCCGATGCCGCCTCTCGTGCCGCCACCGCGGGGACTCGGGTAATCCCCCCTGCCGCCGTCGCGGGGGGAACACTGCCGCCAGAGGTCGCCGCCATCGCCGCCGGAGCTGCTGCCGATGCCGCCGCTCGTGCTGCCACCGCGGGGACCCCGGCCGTTCCCCCCGCCGCCGCCGCGGGGAAAAACACTGCCGCCGGAGATCGCCGCCGTCGCCGCTGGAGCTGCTGCCGATGCCGCCACTCCAGTCGCCAACGCAGGCGCTCCGGCCTTTTCTCCCGCCCCAGCGGCGGGGAAAACATCATCGCAGACACTGCCACCAGCGTGAACCATGTCCACAGAATCATTCCATCCAAACCATCCGTCATCATCACCGTCCACAGCGCCGCCAGCGTGAACCACGTCGACGAAATCAGAGCGGTACTCGCTCTCTGCCATCACCTCGCCGCCAACGTGAACCAGGTCGACAAAATCAGAGCGGTACTCGCTCTCTACCACCACCTGCTGCTGTACGACCGAGCTTCCACCGATGTCCATGCAGCTGCCGC